AAGAGATCTGTTGTACAACATGGTGACTATAGGTAACAATATTGTATTTGTGAGCTTGAAAATTGCCAAGAGAATAAATTTTAAGTGTTCTCACCACAAAAAAATAGTACTTGAGGTAATGCATATGTTACCTAGCTTGATATAACTGTTCTACAACATATTTCAAAACCATAAATATGTATAATTTTCATTTGTAAATTTTAAGAATTTCATTGGTTTCACTTCCCAAATACAAGCCACATCTAGCCACCACTTGCTGCATAGTTGAGTTGTCTGTCATCTACCGCCTGGGCAGCTGTCGTGGCCATATGTCACTGGTCGAGATAGTGACTGCAATCCAGACTGTCATTGTTCTCCCAAGCTTCATTTTTGTTCCTCTATACTCCATTCTCTAAGAAGAGCCTGAATGATTTGTTTTAATGTAAATCAGGCCATGTCCCTCCTACTTTTAAAACCAGTGATTCATAGTGAACTTAAAATACAATCCAGACTTCTTATCATGGCCAGGAAGGCCTGTCTGATCTGTCTCCCACCTTACTCTCCAACTTCATCTCATACCATTCTCTCCCTCACTTGGGATGTGTTTGGGTCACTCAGTTCCGTGCTCTGAACACAGGCATATTAGGGACCTTATGCTCTGGGCCATTGTCATTGTTTCCTTTGTTTGTGGTCCCTTCCCCAAGTTCTCTGCATGACAGGCCCTTTACTTCTCAGCTCAAGCTGTCACTTCCTCAGAGATACCTGCCCTGTAGTTCCTTCATAACACAGGTTACTGTCTGCCTTGTGTTTTTACTTGTTTATCATCCATTTCCTCCAGTGGAAGCCCTACGTGTCTGTCTCCTCTCAACTCTTCATAAGTTCATCATAGTGTCTAACTGGTAAAAACCACATTTCACTGGAAATCTAAGATGGGATCAGTTGTAGGATGCAGTATTAGATTATGTGCCACCAAGAAAGTAAAAACACTGTAAATTAAACCATGGTACAATGCTAGCAAATACTGATTATAAAACAATCTTGACTTTTAAGATATTAAAATGTATTTTTAAAAGGCATTCTTCAATTAATGGAATATATACCTTGTTAAATAAATACACTCCTCTTAATCATGATTACTTGCTTACTAGTGATCGTTTGAGGAAATTAGTCTGAAAAATACATACATGTAGAGGCCAAAAGATTGCACAAGTCACGAGAAACACTATATTGTGAAAAAGAAGATAACATTAGTATGAAGAAGTATGAGTAATTGAAAGACATGTATGAGTAATTGTTTCAAACTGCCAATTACTGGTTTACCAGCAATGATTCAAATTCTGTAGATCTTGAGTGGGCCAGGAAACTTGAATTCTCAACTAACATTTTAAGAACCTCATATGCAATTGTCCTGTCTCCTGTCCTATACTGTACAAGGAGGGAAGACAGAAAAGATAGGGACAGATATTGATTGGTAGAGTTGACAGTGGGAAAATATGGGAATATGCATCTGATTGCTGCTATGTGTTCAATAAAATATGAGGTCATGGGCTCAGTATAGTAGGGGAGAGGTTTTGGAACTTTGAGAAAGAAGAGAAGGTATGGCATAGTCAATACAGAGAGTATGAAAGCAAGAGGAAGTAATATGTTCTACAGGAAAAAAGAAAGGCTTGCAAACAGATTTGAGAAACTCTGAAGTACAAGACAAGGTGCTTGGTTGGGTGTTGGATGATGTCCCAATGTGATGGAATAATGAACACCCACTACTAAAGGAGTAGCAAGACAGCCTGTCCCACTGCGCTGCCTTGGGTTGGTCTAGTCCCTAAACTACATTCCATTCCATAAGATCTGACTATTCGTGGGTGGCTGTGAAATTGCTGCTTCCATTGTTACCATTTATATAGTTAAAATAAATAAACTCATAGGTGAGGGAAGCTGGATTCAGACACTGACTTGGGAGGAAAAATTCAGGCTTTTAACCACTAAAGTGTGCTACTGCTCCCCAATTAATAAGAGCTTCTCAAGGTGGCCCAAATGAACCACTTTTTTGTGGGATGAAAAGAAGCTCTTTCACATGCTGAAAACTGAATACTTTTCTATTTTTATAGGAAAAAGTTCAGACTCCTATGACACTTTCATATTGTGCTCTTGTGCTCTGGTCCAAGCTCCTCTGCACAGCCTCATCTTTCCATATGCACACTTTGTGGCCCAGGCTTACTGCTCATCTTTAAGCACCCCACCCCAGGGCTGGGATCTTTAAGTTCAGATGCAGGTGCATTTGGCACTATATAAGTTGGTCCATTTGGGTTGTGTTAGTGTGTTCTGTTCTCTTATTACCACCAGGCCTTTGCCTATGTTGTCTTTTCCGTGTGCTTGGAACACCTTTACCCTTGTTTGGCTAAGTCCTACAAATCTTAAGGTCTCACTTGAAACCTCACTTCTTCTAGGAAGCTTCTTCTGAACCTACCAAGTTCGAGGTTGCCATTTCCCTGTATCCTCCCGTGATACCCTGCACTCACCTCTTTGTGTCCTGATTGCCTATTACTGATAGGCACCTGCAAAGCATCAACACCTAACGAAGTACCTGGCTCAGAATTGGGCTTGATAAATGTCAACAGAATGTTAACCACTTCGGTACGAGCGTTGACTATAGTCGACAGCCACAGACGAATGCGCACAGCGACTTTAGCCAATGGCCATGATATGAAGGTGCACAGCTGAGCGTAGACTTTAGCGTTAATAACAAAACTTCTACAACAGTACTCCGAATCCAGGCAATACAACCCTTGTACTGCATCAGAAGATCTCATGCGTTTTAGAGAAATATTTTCCAGCACCTTACAATAGTGATAAAACAAAAAGGAAAAATCCATTAAGAAGATGTATTGTATGCTCAAAAAAATAATAAAAGATGTAGTACTGGATACTATTGTAAACAATGTACTGTGGCCCTTTGTGTAGCCCCATGCTTCGAAATTTATCATACCAAAGAATAAAATTTATCATAATATTCAAAAACTTGCCTTATTTCTTTATGATATGAATGAAATAAAACTGTAATTTTGAATTGACTTTTCTAATTTTTCATTTATCAAAATAAAATTGTGAACATTTAAAAATAACGTAATGAAAACATATGTGTATGTTACCTATTCTGATTTACATTACAAGTAAAGCTGCCTGTAAAGTAAAACAAGCTTTCAGTGCTTTAAAGCTTTCCTCATCACACCAGAGCAAAATGGATTCGTGGTCAATGCACAGCACAAACCATCATGCGGACTATGGGCAAGGTTTTGAGGCTGGTGAGCACCGTACCAAAGTGGTTAAAAGAGGAAACATTTAATCATTTTTCACATGTTTTAGTTATATACTTCATTAAGCCAGGTTCTTATTTTGGTACATAGGAATTTTTAATCTATTTGAAAATCTCAGAAGGACTCTTCTTGAGGCATAACTTTTAAAAAATTATTATGAATCATAATTTGGGTTATAATAACATCATAACACTAACGTGTAACAATAAAATCTGATTGTCACTGTGAGCAGACTCATCAAAAAAAGTAGAAAAATTGGGCAAATATTTTTTAAAAGCCTCTCTGGACCATGTTTTGTATAATAGTAGCATGAAATTCTGCAGCCATTTATACTTTCAACAGGTCAATACTAATAAGGTGGTTTATTCAAACCAGACTCTTCCATTTCATTATCCATTTAGCTCATGTCCTTTACTGGTATTAAACATGTCATTCCCACGTATCCTTCAGCCTGTAACTTCTTAACACTTTTCCTCAAGTTTGTGCCAGATAAAGAGCAAAGTTAAAAGTTACTATGAATTTAGTTTTTTTTTTTTTTTAAATGGCTCTCTGTGGTGATGTTTTTCTTTCCCCAGACTGTGTGGCTTTCTCCCATTACTGCCTGAGTCTTCATAGAGTGCTTTTCTCATGCAGGTGGATGTGTTTTGATTTCTCAGAAAGGCAGACTCATCCAAGCGGAAAAGAAAGATTTAGCACTGTTTTCCATTTGGAGTGTTGAGTGCCTCCCTTTACTACATTAGAAAGGACAGAAAGAGATTATGATGCCAAGAAGATAAAGAATTAATGTTCACTCCTTATGGAAAATATTCTAGCTACCTCTTATTTCAAAGTGGTGCATATTCTTCATCTTTTAAAGATTAGTTGTGTCTACACTTTGTGCTTCAATCTTTTACCATAATCTTTAATACTAGCCATATCTGAATGCTAAATGTAGCATTCAAGTATATGCTCTCTTCTCTCCTAATCTATCTCTGTGGTCCTTTGCATGCATTAATTTTGTAAATTACCTCCTTAGCAACCAAATCTCGTAAGGATTTTTTTTTTTTTCGTTTTGTGTTGCACTGTTGTAGTTGGCTTAATTTTCTTACTTGTTCCTGTGATTTTGCTGACATAGAAACTACTTCATGTTCTTGACAGGAAGGGTCAGGGGAAACAGTTATTTTTGGTAATGGTTTTTAAGCTACTAGATATTATACTTTACAAAATCTCTCTTTTTTTCCTTTTAAAGTAATAAAACGTGCCTGAAGTTTAGTGTTGAAGCATTCTGTAGTGAGGCTGAAAATCTGAAACACCTTTCAGCTGGCACGTTGTCCAAATGCTGTCTCACCCTGCAGTTCTTGTAGTCGGCACGTCTTCTGAACGTAGTTTCACCCTGCCAGTTTCAGAAGGATGGGATGAAATTTGCTTCTTTGGTGAGCCTGTGGCTTAGGCCCATTAATGTTCACAAATACAATGATCAGAGAAGACTTAAACGCCCTATAAATCGTTTTGGAGACATTATATAATGATAGACATTTTAGTACTGCCTAATACAGGTATCAAGGCAATTACCATTCATTATGTTATCTTAAGAAATTATAGTTAGTCCTTTACTGCGGTCATGGTCATGAAATAAGCAGTAATGATACTTACACACATACAGACACACACACACAAAGAAACTTAATAACCAATGTTTTTTTTTTTTCTTCCATCTGCTCTTTCACACAGGTACAACTTGGCCAAGTAGAAATCAAATGCCCTATCACGGAGTGTTTTGAATTCTTGGAAGAAACAACTGTTGTCTATAACTTAACACATGAAGACTCCATCAAGTATAAGTACTTCTTGGAACTTGGCCGTATTGATTCCAGCACCAAGCCATGTCCTCAGTGCAAGCACTTTACAACCTTCAAGAAAAAAGGACATATTCCCACCCCTTCCAGATCAGAAAGCAAATACAAAGTAAGCGCATTCTCCAGAGTTGCGGGTTAGATGTCACATGATGGGAGAAGCCAAATTAGGTCAACTTGTGGTGGGCATTGAGGGGGCTTCCTTCCTTTACTAGAGCCAATGGTGAGCATCTATCAGCTGTGATTCTGAAAACCTGTGGTTTGGGGAGACTGATGATAAGAGAGTACTCTCAAGGATGTTATTAAAGTTTTTCCTTTGACTTTAAACATGTTGAAAATTCATCTGGTAACCTCATTGAGAGGCTAATCTTCAGAGTAATAGTCATTACTATTATCAGATACTAAGGCTTTTTTTTTTTAAGTGTAAGCATGAGTTTTTCAGTGGTCCCAATGTAAATCTCCCCTAGCCCTGACTATAAGTGAAAATAGTATAAAATGGTATTCTTTCATTTATTTAGCAAATATAGAATGCCAGTATATATGCTAGGCAGTGTGCTAAGTTTGGGGGATATGAGCAAATGTGATATAGTCCCTGCGTCAAAAAAGTCTAATGAAGGTATAAGAGACATGTTAGAAAATGACAGTTCAAAATGCTTAGAAAAACAAAAAACTACCAAAACTCTGTACAAAGGGTGCTTTGACGACGCTCAAAGGAGGGATGGGTACTAGGATGTCAGGAATGTCTTCACAGAGGAGGTGCTGTTCTCCAGGCAGAGAAATGGGGAGAGCATTTCTGAGCAAAGAATCAGTCAATGCGTAAGCTGTGAGTCTGGGGCCAGGCATACTAGAAACAGCTGCCTCTAGAACTGGTGGGGAGAGAGTAGGGGAGAGGCAGCCGTTCAGGCAGGTGCGAGTGGGTCTTGTTGAGTCTTGTACACTGCGTGCAGAAGTTTGGATTCAATTCCATAGGCATTAGGGAAATATCATTCTGGCGGCGCTCACAACAGGATGAGACTGAAACTGGGAAACCAAGGCAAAACTGTGGCAACAGATCATTGAGTCACAGCCCTGAACTACAGAATTACCTGGAGAGCTTGTGGACACACCAGCACCCCTGGGGGCCCACCCCAGGACAATTGTCTTGCAAATATTTGAGGCTCACCAGGTGACCAATGTACAGCAGAGTAGAGAACCTTCACAGTAAATGAAGCAGAAAACCAGTGAGGCTGTGGCAGTAGTTTTCATCCTTGTCATTACAGCAAAATGGCAGGATGAAGTGGTTTCAAAGGCTGTTTGAAGTCATCTCCATGTAAGGTAAGTTTTTGTCCATGCTCTGTGTCTTGGAGGCAGTGGTCGCTACATTACTCATCCTGTAGTTTTGAGGGGACTGTGGTTTAGCAAGTAGTTTCCTCAGCTGTTGGAATAATGAGCTATTATATTTACAGTTTAGTCAAAGCTTCTCAATGAGTCATCGCTCTTTGAAACTACTTGACTCTCATAGTTTTTTAATGTATGGTTTTTGTGCAGGCTAGTCTCTTTAAAGTATAACTGTTAGAAAAAAAACCTCTTTTTCCTTATGTAAAAAGTATCATTTTCAAGGATACAAAATTGTATAACTTAAACTTCTACCCTATAGTAATGCTGAATGCTGACTTAACATCAATAGAATACTTTTATTCGATGCTATATAACCTTAGGTTATTTTAAGTCATTTTTATTTCTATTGTATGTTTTCAGGAAATTAATAGCTTTAGAAGGACTTGTTATTCCATAAATCAGGATATTAGACTTTTTTTCTAAATAATGTTTAGAATTAGATACATATAAACTCAGACTATACTAATTTTTGAATTTGTGATAATTAAAATTTATACAAAATTGAATCAAAGTGGAAATAATTGAGTAATTTATAAATGTGTTGTTCTGAAGAAATGAGTAAAAGGAGGTATAATAGTACAATTATGGCAACGTAAACTGTTGGATTTCATCCAAAAATCACATTGTGATGAGCATAATTTATCACAATGTACATGTATTAAGAGTGAAATATGTAGAAATTGACGTATATAAGATCTTATATTTGTATAATTTTGAGTGAACCAAGAATCTTCTGATACCATTTCCCAATGTCATGCTTCCTCCAATCAAAATCTTAAATTTAGTAAACGCAACTGTTTTCTTTTGATGAGCAAAGGTAAAGAAAATTTGCTTTGGGAGAGGTGGAATTCAATACAAAATAAATGTTGATGATGGAATTTAAAATCCTCCCCAGGGGTAGATGAGAGATGGAAATCTCAGTATACTGTAAAGTGAAAATATTGAACAAATTTGAGCAAGAGTAAAGCTACCACAGAATTTGAGGATGATTATTTTGTGTTGCTTTTCTTTACTCTTGAAGAAGAGAAGATCTGTAACAGAAGAGGTAAATAGTTTTCCTGTTCCCTGTTGTACAAGGGATGATTCAAACAATTCCTGAATCAATGACTTTTGCTACTTTTATATAATATTTATATAGCATTTCTCATCATTAAACATCACACTCTACATTTTTTTTTAAGACTATTCAAATGAAGTAGTGAGAAGGGAGGAAAGTAGTAGAACAAGGAGTTCAATCTGTAACTGACTGTAAACAATCAACTGAGATAACTCACTGCCTTTGGACCGGCTGCCACACTTACATTAACTATCTGATGATTTACATGCCCATACCTGTCTGGATATTATGGGTAAGGAGAGCACTAACATGGATACTCTGACAAACCAACAGTGGCATTCATGGCTCTAGAGAGCACCCTATACTGAGACCAAGATCTTGTTCTTTGTGGTGAACAGATAGACAATTTTCATTTTGCTGTAGTTTTTAAAATTCAGTTTCTCCAATAACAGAACCCACTTTCAGATTGGTGTAGTTTATCATAATTTTAAGAGGTGTGAATTTAAATACTTAAATGTAATAAAGTGAGACTCTGAGCAAGAGCGAGACCCCGTCTCTACTATAAATAGAAAGAAATTAATTGGCCAACTAATGTATATAGAAAAAATTAGCCGGGCATGGTGGCGCATGCCTGTAGTCCCAGCTACTTGGGAGGCTGAGGCAGCAGGATCGCTTGAGCCCAGGAGTTTGAGGTTGCTGTGAGCTGACGCCAAGGCACTCACTCTAACCTGGGCAACAAAGCGAGACTCTGTCTCAAAAAAAAAAAAAAATTTAAATGTAATAAATTGCATTGTAAGGCAACAAAAACAGGGGAAAAATGTTATTGCTAATGACTACCATTTCTGAGCAATTTAACATCTCTACATAATATTTACAGCCTTAAGTAGGTTTTATATCTATTGATAAAACACTCGTAATGTTTATTGTAATATTATTCTAAGTCATTGAGTTATGGTATCTTGATCCAGGATGTCACTCTTTGAGCATTTATTATGGCTTTTGTTGTCAATTCATAAGCACTTAATATAGCAGATTAAAATTGTTGAAAAATATTACAGCTATTTTATAGCTGAATGAGTGCTCCTTACATGAAGTTTAAGATCTAAAATATCATACTTGGGCTGGACATGGTGGCTCATGAGGCCTGTAATTCTAGCACTCTGGGAGGCCAGGGCAGGAAGATCACTGGAGGTCAGGAGTTCGAGACCAGCCTGAGCAAGAGTAAGACCCCATCTCTACTAAAAAAAAAATAGAAAGAAATTAGCTGGACAGCTAAAAAAATATATAGAAGAATTGAGCCAGGCATGGTGGTGCATGTCTGTAGTCCCAGCTACTTGGGAGGCTGAGGCAGAAGGATTGCCTGAGCCCAGGAGTTCGAGGTTGCTGTGAACTAGAATGACACCACGGCATTCTAACCCAGGGAACAGAGTGAGACTTTGTCTCAAAAAAACAATAAATAAAATAAAATATTATACTTGGGGGTTTCATTTATATGGGTTTTTGCAAAAACCACTTATTAAAATTTTCATACTCAGCAGATGAAAGAAGGGGTAAACACAATGTATCAATAAGCAATAACCAGAACTCTTAAGTCTCCATTTATCTCTGTAGGCCCTCACTCAACAACTCCATTCTGGCAAAAATTTGAGTAAATAGAGCTTTTCATTATGTTCTGAACATTGTCAACCTCATACTATATCAAATGGAACAAATGCATTCCTGAATTGAGAGATTTATGTTGAGACAACCTTGCCTTTGGTCAAATCCAGTCTTTTTCATTCATAAAATTCGTTTCTTCTTCTCACTGTAACTCTTGCCATGATTCCAAAAAGGCTTACCATACCATTCCTACAAGATTGACTTTGATTTCTAATTAGAAATCTAATATCTAACCTGGAAAGTTTCTATAATTTTTTAGTGCAACACCAACTGCATATCAATATAGGGAAGAAGTTAATGGTGAAAAAATTAAAAAAATGTTGAAGTTGCTACACTAATGCACTCATGTGATGCCTGGAGACAGACACGTTACCCACACCCGAAGTTGTTCTCCATAGCAATTATCATCTGACATTTTATGGTGTATTTGTGTGGTTATTTGCTTAAAGTTTCTCTTTCTAACTGGTCTCTAGGAGGCTAGGTCCAGGCTTGCTTCATTCACTGCTGATAACCTGTGTCAAGCTCTGTGTCTGGTGGTGTATGCGTTAAAAATATATTTGTTGAAGGAACTAATAAGTGGGCCAATGTGTAAATAACAACGTGTATTGTAATAAATGTAGGAGGAAAAATACTTAGAGCATAGAAGAAAGAACAGGAGAGATTGGGAAGGTTTTGTTTGAGAGCAAACACATTAAACTCAGCCTTGAAATGTTGAATTTACCAAGGTGGAAAAGGTAGGTCAGAGCCCTGGCTTCACACTAAACACTCAGCCTGTCGCACCTTAGCTCTGTAACCTCAAGTACAGTTTTCACATCTTCAGACCTATGTCATAAGCATGTGGTAAAGATTAAATGAGATCACACACATATAAATCGCTTAGCACCAAGTCTGACACATAGTAAGTGCTCAACACATACTAGAAAGTATTATGGTTGTTGCCCTTATTAGGCAAAGAGAGCAGAACGAGCAACACTGGGTATTGAGAAGGGAATGGTGGAGTCATAAAGAATAGAGATGGA